AGGCAAGTGAGTTTGAGGGGGTCAGGTTTGAGGGGGTACTGGTGAGTTTGAGGGGGTCAGGTCTGGGGGGAGACCAGTGAGTTTCAGTGGGTTAGGTCTGGGTGGGAGGGGGATGACCAGTGAGTTTGAGGGGGTCAGGTTTGGGCGTGGGGTACTGGTGAGTTTGAGGGGGTCATGTTGGCAGGGGGGGTTCTGGTGTTCCTGATAGATGCTCTTCTTCCTTTGTCATCAGTATGTATGATTTTTCCCCCAGAGCGCATTGTGACACCATGGATGACATCAACCTACACTACAGGTTTCTGAACTGGCGCCGGAGAATCCGGGAGATCCGAGAGGTGAGGGCCGTGCGCTACCAAGAGCGCTACAAACGGATCCTGGTGGACGGGGACACGCTCAGGTGAGGCCGGTCACGGCAGCTCTCTGGATCTCTGTCCGTCGGGGTCTGTGTCTCGGGGGTTCGAGTCCTGCCATACACACACCAGTCTGCCTCCAGCCTGGAACGGGTGTGTTGTTAAACGTTGCCCCTAAATTATTGACATTATGTGACCGCAGACACTTGGGTTTACATCACTACACAACAGCAAAAATACATTAAGAAAAATGTGGTTATTTGTTTGAGTGATATTTTTGTTACCAAGCAATGTATGCCGTAGGAACAGACAAACTACTGACAGCCATAACTACATGTTTTGCATTAAAGGGGCACTGTTCAAAAGGGATGGCAAAAACAGACCTGTAAAACAAACTGACTGGTTACAGGTGTTCGATAAATGAAACCACATAAGCTGAGGCATTGTGGAGCAGCAGTACTTGTTCTCTAGGCTGTGGTAATTAAAGAAAAGCATGGGTCTCGCTCCCTAACGACAGCTCGTTTTTCACCGGTTCAAGGCAGCTCCAGACAGCAGGTCCATCTCTGGTCAGGGCTGGTTAATCGGGCAGCTCAGATTCCAGCTGGCGCCTTCAGGATCACAGGGTTCAGCAATATATTTCTACTTAAATAGACTGCAGGTGTGGTTTCTGCTTAGCATGCGATTATTAACAGACATCTTGACACCCATCCCCCCATAGGACTGCGCCCCAAAAGGTGACGGGCTTGTTTAGAAGAAAAAAAAATGGAATATTGGTGAGGAAAACAAAAACAGAAGAGTGACAGATAAAATTATCTTGAAGTGAATTCCCGGCTTGTTTGAGTCATTTCCATGTGCTCACACACTCAGGTTAGAGGTAATCAGTTGTGATGTGTCTCAGTTATTGGCCGAAGGCCGGCTGAGCACTGAGAAGACGGGTGTCGCTGGTTCGAGCATCCCTTGACTGGGATTCCCCAAAACGTCAAGGTCCAATTGCCAAAGTGTAGAGAGTGGAGTAGTGGAGTTTATTGCCATATGTACACCTACACTGGAATCCTTCATCGCGCCGCTCTCTTGGAACAAACACGGTACAGCAGACACCATCACACAATGCAGACAGTACATTTCAAATATAATCAATAATAACAACAGGGACGATAAATATGTAGTAGTGAGAGACATAACAACATGGTTAGACCATGCAAAAAAGGGCCTAGTGCAGATGTGTGTTGAGTCTGAGGCACTGCGGTAGCTGTTGAGGATGAGAACTGCGGTGGGATGGAAGCCTCGTCTAGTGGTCCGTGCCTTAGTAGCGCGGTACCGCTTGCCAGAGCGCGGGGGGGGTAGAGCAGTTTGTGGCCGGGATGGTTGGGGTCATGAACGGTGGATTGAGCTTCATTGCGACAGCGGATGGTGCAGATCTCACCGATTGATGGTAAATCACATCCTGTATTCCTACAGTCCTCTGTGCCATTGCCACAACCCTTTGTAGTGCATCTGAAGTGGTACCAGGGTTAGTTGGCCGGCGCCCCCCAGTGGCGTCCAGCTGCCGGTGACGCGGCTGGAAGGTGGGCAGGGGCACGGGAGCCTCTCGGCATGGCTGGTTCCGACCATGACCAGCATGACCAGCCCCCTAGTTCCGTGCCGATGCAGAACTGGAGACCAGCGCTGACCCTGAGGGGGCTCATGCTCTCGAACCCCTGTTTTGCAGTTACCAAGGGAACTCAGACGAAGTCGGCTGCTACGTGGCTCCTCGGCCCTTGTCCAAGGGAAACTGCTACTTTGAGGTAAGATCTTGCCCTTCTATCTCCGGCAGGACCCCTCGTGTAAGTTCACCTTAATAATCATGCAGTGGCATTTTCTTACAGGCAGCACGGTGGCACAGTGGTTAGTGTTTCTGCCTCACGGCGCTGGGGCCCTGGGTTCAGTTCCAGACCTGGGTGCTATCTGCTTGTTTGCATGTTCTCCCCGTGTTCGCATGGGTTTCCTCCCACGGTCCAAAGACATACTGGTAGGCTAACTGGCTTCTGGGAAAACTGGCTCTGGTGTGATTGGACCCAGTGATGGACTGGCGTCCTACCCGGGGTGTGTCCTGCCTCGTGCCTATTGCTTGCCGCAATCGGTTCCGGCTCCCCCCATGAGCCTGGATTGGGAGAAGCAGTTAGAAAATGGATGGGTGGCATTCTCTTGCCTTTCTTGTGGTCTTAACCATATCTTTGCTGAGATTTCCTGTAGTTACAGCAGGGCCACGTGAGTAGTAATACAGTCTACCAGAGGAAAGATTCCTCTGAAAGGCCTGACGGATTGTGTTATAAAACTCCCAGGCACAGCGTAGCTGTGAAGGCATGTTGAGGAAACCACAGCAAACCTGAGAAGATAGTGTGGTGAATTTGCCAGAGTACACTAAAGGGGACTGAGTGAGGCATTTGCTGATTTCTTCCGGGAGCACTTTGTAGTAAAACACTTTCACATGAAACGCTTTGGAAACAAAACAATCCCGTGTGTCTCAAAAAAGCTTCAAAACATTTAGAGAAAAAAAAACAAAACACTTGTAAAATATGGTCCAGGGCTGGTTTGTGGTTAGCAGGAGCTGTGTTTTCCGGTGCTAACATCCCGGTCCTTGGTTCTGTGGTGCTGGAAGGGGGAGAGTATTCCCAGTGATTTAGTGAGGGAAAAGCCTGCGAGCGCTCGGTTATAAATTACAGAATCCCGGAAAGCTGAGATGTTTACGGCGCTCTGTTACTGCGGCCGAGGCTGGAAATGAGCTCCCTGTGGCGCCGTGGCCTGCGTGGGGGTTTTCTGGAGCCACTGGTCTTGGGGGGTCGTCTGAGAGATCGGCAGCGCCGTGCCCGCCAGGCTCGCGGCACTCTCTGTACTCTCCGGCGAGCTTCGCCTCGCTCCCTGTCGCTCCAGGTCGAAAGCAGCCACACGCACACGCGTGTACAGAAAGCCACACCTATGCTGTTCTCTCTTCTACACGGCTGCATTCTCTTTACGCCCGCTTCTAGGACACTGTGTCCTGGAGAAGAAAAGGAGGTTGGCCTGCGTCATACAGATTTTACAGTGGCGGTATAAAGGACTCGGAGATTAGTATCCTTCAGCGTTTCTCCATCGCTACTGACACTAAGCTTTAACTGGCTTGTATCTAAATAGTTTTCTATACACGTGTGTACAGAAAGTGACGCGCATGCACACGTGTGTACAGAAGGCCACATGCACGCACACGTGTGTACAGAGAGTGACACGCATGCACACGTGTGTACAGAAAGTGCCACGCACGCAAACATGCATACCTAAGGCCACATGCAGCCACACGTGTGTACAGAAGGCCACATGCACGCGCATGTGTGTACAGAAAATGTCGCACAAGCAGGCACACGTGTGTACAGAAGGGCACATGCACGCACACGTGTGTACAGAAGGCCACATGCACTGTCTCACACTCAAGCTCCTCCAGACAGCAGTTCATGCTGTTCCAGGAGCTGCAGCCCGGCCGTGAGGCAGCGAGGGTAAGAAGCTTCTGTGTCGCTCACTGTTGTCAGAAAACCTCTCCAAATGAGCCAAACAGGACACGATTCAGTGCGCAGTCAGGTGGCGCCCGGCTTTTCCGGGACTGTTTTCCCGAGTTCCTTCTTTAATCTCTGGGAATTTCTGACTCTCCCTGCGCTGCCCTTCAAGATTTGTGCTGAAACGCCGTGTCAAAGGAAGAAGGTTTTTTTTTTTTTCATTTTTATTGGCTCATCTGCTTGGCAGCCTGCGTGGATTGAGTAAAGTCAACCCCAGTGCAGGGGAGTTGATTCACTCTCCACCTGCAGAAAGCAGCTCAGCTCAGGCTGCCTGTGCCTGGTCTGCAGAAGCTGCTGCCCTCAGAGGCCCTTTGATGTGGTTCTATTGCTTACAAAGATGTGGATATAAAAAACCCTGGCTTTGTTATAGCTGCATTGCACTGACAAAGTAGCATTAAGCAGGAGGAAAGGGGAATTTTATCTTATCTCCTCTTTAAAATTATAGAATATTTGCATGAAAAAAACTGCTCTGCAGAACCACAGTCAATGCTGTTTTTACTGTTCTCATTATCCAAAGCCATTATCTCAGACAACAGATATTGAACTTTCAGAATAAACAGTGCATGAATAAACAGTGTACAGCGGTATTAAGAGAATGTTAGGCTCATGTGAAATACAATAATACAGTAATACAATAATCTCTACAGCAAGCAGGCCAGTACAAGGGAGAGCAGTTGCAGGAATCTGGAATGAATCACACAGTCTGAAGGGCTGGGCCTTGAGGAAACAGGCAAAACGATACAGCTGAATAATGGAAGATAATACTGAAGAATGTGATGGAATAAAGCAGTTTGAAGAACTTAATATGCCTCAATATTACTATGTTGGAATGAAATGGAACACTGTAAAATAACTTTCAGAGGATTGAGACAGAATGCAGAATAATTTAATCGAATTCTTTAAAACGGCATAGAGCACAGCACAGTTTAGTTCAGCTGAGGTACAGTGCATCTACAGCAGACTACAGTACAGAGCAGGAGAGTAAGGTACAGTTGAATACAATAGAGATCAGTAGAGTACAGTATAGCTGAAATACAGTACAGAATAGCAGAGTACAGTAAAACAAGTACAGTACAGAGCGGCAGAGAGCAGGGCAGTAGAGTACAGTAATACAAGTACAGTACAGCACAGCACAGCTCAGCTCAAGTACAGTACACAGCAGCAGAGTCCCGTACAATTGAAGTACAGTACAGTGCAGGAAAAGCTGGGCTGTGCCTGGGAATCTTCTGAAGACTGTTTATATTTAGAGCACCAGAAGGAAAGGCTTTCCTGGTATCGGATGAGGAGAAACCCGGTCTCCAGAGCCGCAATGAGCGGCTGTTTCCAGTACCACAGTTCTTTCCCAGAGCTTTGCGCAGGAAGCAGGTGGCACACCAGGGCTCCGATTGCACAGCTCCAGCTGAGCCACGATAGCCCAAAGGCTGCCCTCTCCGAGACGTGCAGGGGACAGCCGGCTCTCTCCTCCGGCTTATCTCCTCAGAAGAGTAGGCTGTGTCCCCAAGTCGAAAGAAACGGCTCCTCAGCCTGTGACAGATGTTTTCCACTGGAGAGTGTCAGCGCCCATCTCTTGAGCTGACCGTGTGTTACAGCTTCTTCTGAGTGCGTGTCTCATTAACTAATCATGTCGTTTTTTCCGTTTTTGGTAACAACCAAGGGAAAATTGAAAAAAGTTTTTTTTTCCCTTAAAAAGAAAAAACAAAAAAGGGCAAGTTGCCCCCCGGTGAAAAGAAGAACGGCCGGAAAAAAACCCCCCAAAACAAAACAACGTTGAAGAAAGGGGCAGAGCCGGTGAGCGCTCTGGGTTAACGTGCTGCACTCTGTGCAGGTGGGCTTGAGTAAACCGAGAATCCCACAAGGATGGGTGACACAGCTGGGATGCTCGCACAGATCACACTGTTACTCATACACCCTGGTTTCTAGAGCTCTCGACACAAGAGACCGCTTTTATCTTCTATCAATCGCCTGTATTGTTCCGCTCCCCATGGTGTCTGAAGATTGGGTGATGCCATGGTGAATAAGCTCTAATACTGCACAGTCAGGTTTTAGCGCTATGGGGCTTGGTCTCTGGGTTGTGTTTCTACATTAGACTTGGCTTTTAGTTTTAATTGAAAATCTGGAATCGTCAATTGTTTTTTTATGATGTCGTGAACTGATTTGGGATCTCCAGCGGCGCCTTTACGTCCCCTCCTCACTGCAGCAGCCCCCAGATAGAGACTCCATGTGTGGACCAGCCTGACAGCACCTTTACTCCCACTCCCTTCTGGTCTTGTCCTGTCAGGACGTGGAGCTCAGCAGGGTTGGGCCTGGCCAGCACAGGGATGGCAGACCTCCATGGAGAAAAAACACTTGGTGCTGCAAGAGGTATTGGACAACCAATAGAGGCCACACTTCCATCTCGACCAGAATTTAGCCAATGCCTCAGTTTGGAGATCGGGGACACTAGGCTGTGGGAGGTGCCGTCCTTCAGATATGATGTCACACTGAGGAAATCAAAGACCCCAGGACGCCCACAAATGTGGTGTTTACCTTGGTATCCTGGTCCAGTTACACAGCAGCCGTTTGGTACCAGCAACCCAGGCATGGGGTCATACACGTGGACCTGCGCTTCAGTGGCAGATGAAGTGGGTCCACTTCTGCATGTAAAGATGGGTCACAGGGTCAAAGGCCACGATGGCTGCTGGGAAGTCCGTGCGGCTCAGGGCGAGGAACGGTGGGACTGCAGCATGGGAGGGGTTAAAATCTCGGGGCCCAGAGGCAAGCGGGCTATCCCGTTTCTTGACATGTCGCAGTCTGCGTTCCTCTTAGCTAGCGTTTCCATTGATCCACCCAGCGTTCCTCTGCCGACCGCCCAACATGTCAGTGTGAGGATTAAGAAAATAAAACTTTTTTTTCATGAAAAAAGAAAAACACACGAACGATGAAGTCATGGGTAATAGCTTAATGGTTCCTTTAGAAAGCCTGAACTCTATGAGGGTGTTTTGCTGTCCCCCAGGGTAAAGGAATGTAATTGCCCTCCTTAATGCTTTGTGAAAATAAGGCGGCATCACAAATATTTAGAAAGCTGCTGTCTGCCCGAGATGAGAGGTCAGGTAGAGTAATTTTCCTCTCGATCTCTCACAGTGCTGTAGCACCTCCTGTTCGGCATGGCCAGTCAGAGAGTGTCCACAGAGACCTGTTGGTTTTTATTCTGGGCGAGCTTGTAATTACTTAATTGAGCCCCTATTTGAACCGGTCGTTTGAAAGCTGTTGTGCTGTTTTCTGTTCATTAAAGTGTAGGTTTCAAGTTTAAAAAAAATGGTTTATCAACAGCTCAAGATCTTCCACTTTCACAGCGACTGTCATCTGTGAATGAAGCTGAGAATGTAGCTCAGTCGAGGCGCAGTAATCGGGAGCACAGCTGCCTTGAAAACAGACACTGGGCTCGCCGGGACCAGAATTGGGAAGCCTTGCTTTAAAGGCTTTTGATTTAATACCACTAAGCAAGCACTCTCTGCAGAGCCCAGGGTCACTCTTCAGAATAGCATCGCCTGAGCCGAGCCCTGCTCCATAACGTCACCTTTCTGAGGTTCGTGGCATTCTTACAGAGAGAGTCTCCGCTCCCTTGGCGTGGCTTCCTGGGCTTGGCTCGCCCCGGAGGCTGGGGGTCAAGGCAGCACTGGACAAACTCTCAGATGAGGCGCAAACTCTTTGCTCAGCCCCCCCCCCTGCTGCCCCAAGAAAGAGACCTGAAAACTAATCACTGCTGTGGTTCTGCCTCTCCGTGTGTGTGTGGCTTTGCTGACTTCTCAAGCTTGTGATTACAGACTCGTTTATCCTTTTTTTTTTAATTTGTTTAATGAGGTTTTTTTTTCCATCTGCTATATTACTCCCTCTGTGCCCCGTGCTTCTGTCCTGCGAACTTCACCGCGGCAGATGTGAGAACAGAGAAAGTCGCCGGGGGTTGACTGAAACTGAAACACCTGCCCCCGGACATCTGTAGCAACTAAAGTCAAAAAGTTCTGTCTTCTAATGACTTGTGCTGTGAGTCAGATAACTCGGCTGTGAGCAGACTGATTCAGTTGAACTCAGTTGCTTGAGTCTCTTGTGCGTTCCAGGTGACGATCATGGACACCGGCGTGAGAGGCACCATTGCCGTGGGCCTGGTCCCGCAGTACTACAAACTGGACCACCAGCCAGGCTGGCTCCCCCATTCCATCGCCTACCACGCCGACGACGGCAAGTGAGTTCGCACCCGGGTCCGCTGCGCTGTTCGGCACTCGTGTTTCACGTCTCGTGTGTCTCACCAGTCCCTGGTGACTGCACTGCACCAGGAGCGCTGAACACTGCAGGGAATCCTGGTCTTCACTCCCAGCTCTCCCGAGGCACGCGGGTCTGCAGCGCCGCTCTGCAGGACCGGATCAGAACAGCAGGCCTCTTCTGATGCAGGCGCCATGACTGTCGATAAGGAGAGCTTTGCACAGTCCTGGAGAGAGAATTCTGCGGATTCATCTGTTTCTAAGCCATGTGGAATTCAAAGTTGAGTTGAAGCGTGTTTGGGACTCTCTAACGGGCTGTCATGTTTTTTTTACCCCCCCCCCCCCCCCTCCCAGGCTGTACAACGGCAACACAGTAGGGCAGCAGTTCGGGCCGAAGTGTAACCGTGGAGACCGTATTGGGTGTGGCATTTACTTGGACTCCTTCGAGGCAGGCCTGACCACCGTCTTCTTCACCAAGAACGGCAAAGAGGTGAGACACCCCTCCCCCCATGCCGCGTGCTGGCAGCTCTGTGTGCGCCGTGAATTAGAGTCCACATCTGTCCTGTTACAGAGCAGGCCAGTGGCCGGGTCGCTGGCTGCTTAGCTGTTGTGCAGCCAGGCGCCAAACCGCCGAGCTGCCGAGTCGCCATGCGGCCGGACGCCGAGTGGCGGTGGGACCAGTCTCCGAGCTGCTGTGCGGTGTTCAGTCAGTGGGCTTTAAATGCTGCGTTTGGCACACAGTAGTGCCGTAAGCCAGCATCAGTCACCGGTGAGCGGCCGGTCCACATGGATGTCCGTGTGGTGGTGTTCAGAGCTGTTCAGGCAGTGCCAGTCACCGCAGTGTGTTACCGTGCAGGTTGGATCGGTGGTGGTCCCGGTGTCCCCGGATGGACTGTTCCCTGCAATCGGGATGCACTCCCTGGGGGAGGAGGTGCGCCTGGACCTGCAGGCGGAGTGGGGGTCGGAGGAGGACGACAGCGTGATGATGGTGGACAGCCATGAGGACGAGTGGGGCCGCCTGCATGATGTGCGGGTCAGCGGCACGGTAAGAACCCAGCCTGTCCCGATTCGTCCCTTCCCCCACACTTGCGCTCTTTCCCAGCACCACCCAGACTAACAGCGACTAGTACTGGGAAACATTCCGGACAAACACCATTATTGTTGTATCTGAGCTCCGAAGTGTAGTGTCAGGTTACAGAAATGCGTGCTGTGACAGTGCCCCACCTCTCAGGGGTTCATTACAGAGGTGATGCAGAAGGGGGCAGTGTGATGTTTCAGAGACACACCCTCTGCGGCACCAGTCTCGGCACATGGAGAGGGGTAGCCGCCACCGGATGGCCAAGTAGCCTGCTTCGCAGCCTTTTGCAAACTGATGGGCATCCTAACGAATAGAAAATTCTGCTGTCTTTTGTCTGGGGACTTTCCCGATGTCCGTAGCCCTCCTCTGATTTCATCGTCTGGTGTCTCTTGTCAGGGTCGCCTTGTATGTGGGACCTGAGGAAAAACTGCTGACGGTTTTAAAATAAGAAGTGAGCTCTGCAGTCTTTCGATTTTTGTGCATGATCTCTTCGTTCTGTTTTTTTTTCCACTCTTTCTAACGACCTGAGGCTCTTGCCGGTTCTGTGAGCGCTGCTGAGCTGTGACAGTACTGCATGTGTAGCCTGCTGTCAAGATGCAACTCTAGCGCTAAGGAAGCTCATTCTGAATCGTTGCGGAGAAGCGGAGAAGAATCCCTGCACATGGCAGTTTGTAGCTCAGATTTTTGGAAGCTGCAGTATGGAACTGTACCAGAGCCAGGGAATTGAATGTTATTTGAACTGCATGTCCGGAAATAAAGTGCAAAGCAATAAATATCCAGAAACCTGGCACTGGCTTGTATATAAAGGTCCTGCAGCTTGTTAAAACCCAGAAGGGCATAGCAGTGGGTAGCAGCAAGTAGCAGTGCAGTTCTCAGGGCCTGGACTGGCTTCACATGTGGTTAGAGGCCTGTGCAGCTGTGAGCTGCTCCGATCCTTTGCTTTTTGTTCTTAATTCGCTTTGTTATCTCCGAAAAAGAAGCCGACACCAGCATGGTGTGGCTCATGCTGGAGCAGGAGATGCCAGGGCTGATAGCGCCTGCCTGCTCTGACAGCTGCTGCCAACTGGGACCGGTCGGGCTGTTTGGTTTCACTCCACGCTGAGCAAATAAATAACTGAAATAAAGTAAATATGAGCTGGCAGAGGCAGATGGGAAGGGTTTGTTAGGAAGTGTTTACTGCCTGAGCGCCAGGATAAACTGTAGTTAACCGCTTAAGGAGTAAAATGTTTTGCAGACTTTCTTGTTTGGCTAAGCGCGGACGTTAAAAAACAAAAAAACACAGCCTGTTCTGTGTTTGACCTGAGGAAGTCCAGTATAGGACAGCGGCTCTCCGCCGCGAGTACACAGTGACGACACAGGTCGAAAAGGCGTTCGTAAACAAGTTTTTGTGGCGATCCATAAATCCCCAAGAGCTACTGAACCGATTTTTCCAGCAGCACCTCCTCTGGTCTCTTCTCTTTGCCTCAAGAGGAGCTTTTTCTTGTCACGCTGGCGAACGTGCTGATCCCTGGGAATGGCAGTGATCCGTCAGCCTTGACATGGAAACCGCCGCAGTGAGCGTGGGAGGTAATCCGCTCCAAATTCCCAGACCTGTAAAACCTGGAATCTGGATGCAACAGGGCCACAGTAAACACAACTGCTTCTGTCCGGTCTGACGCTGGCAAGAGCCACCGAGACAGCAGCAGAGCCGCGCTCTTCAGAGTGCTGTGTGGAACCTAAGGGGAGGTTTTTTACAGTCAAGTGAGACACATGAGCAGTAGAAGTGATCTAAATTCATGTTTTGTTATTTGTATTTCTAATATGTATTACTGGAATCAGTGAAACAGATACAGCACTTTGCTGATCGTCGTGGAACGAAGGCTGTTTTGCACCAACAGTGGTGGGAGCCTGGAACCAGCTCCCCAGCCACGCTGTCGAAGTGGAGCTGTTCCTCCTCCTCCTGTTCTCAGTTTTGAATGTCTCCCGTTGCCTTCTGTCCCCAGAACAGTGGCCGTCTGTCAGTTCCAGATCTCAATCTGGGTGCGAAGCCTTCCGTGGCAACTGCTTCTGTTCCGTTGGGTCGTGTCGTTCTGTGGGCCCCGCTCCCGAGGTCACAGACGTCACCAGCTTTTGTTTTCCACACAAAAAGGAAAACCAGTCAGAAGAGGGTTTTTAAGGTGAAAACAAACACATTCTTCTGTGTTGAATTCTCAGGCACGGTACGGCGGAGCTCAGCAGTTCTGTTGCGGTTTTCACTTGTGAGCTCTGACAGCCTGGTGTGCGTGCGTGTGTGTGTGTGCGCATGTGTGTCTGCCCGGCCTGGGAACGGACCCGGCCCTCACTGTGACTCACGGGCTCTGCCGTGGGTCTGACGACTGGCCCTTCCTGACTCACACCCCGGGCCTCTCGCAGCGTCCCGACTTGTCTCTCGCGCTGAGCCTTCCTGTGCCGCGGCAGATTTACGAGGGGAGAGAAAACGGGGGGTCTCCTGTTAAATCCCCGGGGACTGTGAGCGGAGGCCTGAGTCACAGGTGATTTATTTCAGGCGTTTGTTGTTCTTTGACAATCGAGAAGGGAGAGAACAAAAAGAAGGAGCGCACAGCTGCCTAGCCCCTAGCAACGCAACCTGCGCTCCCACCGAGAGTCACCTTGCCGAGCGAAACCACAGGCCACCCTCTTCCCGCATCGGCGGCATTCCTCCCGAAGAGCCCCCCGGAGGCGCGCCCCTCCCCCTGCCCCCCTGTAATTAGGCGGGTGAGTCACGAGACTGGGATCGCGATGGGCGTGCTACGTGCTCAGGAAGGGCATCGCCGCGCCCCTCGTCTTCTGATTCCGGCCCCTACCTGCCCTGGCCCCTCTCTACAGTGGCAGCGGGGCCCGCCTGCGGAGCATGTCGGGAATCGGGTCGGTCCCTCAAGGCCCTGTTTCCAGCTCCCCGCTTTCTAAACGGAAAGCCGTTCCCTGATCCAGCAGCTGCCGTGTCGGGTGGCCTCAGTGCAGGGGCGATCAGCGCCCGAGACCTGCGCCCCTCCTCAGGCACTGGATTTAGGGTGCACTGGAACCCCTGCCAGGGTTGGGCTCTTTACGGCCGGGACGATTGGAGCAGAGGCTGGGGGCAGCCAACCGCTAGCTGAGTGTAGGAATCAATATGACCAGTGTTGTGACTTTTGCAATGCATTGTGGGAGCTGTCTGTGGTCTGCGCGTTTGTCTGTGGCAGCTTTGTGCAGCTGTGAAGGCCCTTTATGGCCGATCGCGGCGTGAGAAGTCTCCCCGATTCCAAGCTGCAGCAGTCCAGTTCCTGAGCAGCCTGATGGGCAACAGAAAGGCTTCTGTCTCGCGCTGCCAGCTGCACGTTTCGCCGGGGCGTGCGTGCCCCAGCTGAGCCGGAGGAGGCTCCGACAGCGCTGCTGCTCTGGGGAGAGATTGATGTATCCTCTCACGTGTTTCGTGCAGGAGCTGTAAGAGATGTGAAATTAAAGACTGCGCACAGAAGCCGAGCCATTAAATGGAGTCAATTTATTACCTATTATCTCCTTACAAAACAATTACAAGCTACCCCAGGGCACATGAGTAATGAGGAGGGTGTGGGGTGCGTGGGGGGTGCAGGGAGATGTCCCTCTGGCTTCTGCTACTGTAATTATTTTCTTATTTACGGACTTCGGCAGCTCTGACAGATCCAGTTATCTCAGCCCCCGCGGGGTTGTGGGGGGGGGCAGAAGCACAGTTTGAAGCTGAAGGGGGCTCACGGCCCACCACCGTGCCGAGCTCGAGCAGAGGCGGCGTTCCAGGAGGGGCAGAGAGGAGTGCACGCTCTCTCCAAGGCTCTCCGGGACCCGTCTCCTGGCTCGGAGAAGACGACCGTCCCAGAGCCCCCGAGCGTGTTGGCCGACAGCAGCGGCGTCGTTATCTTGATCGTCGCCCGTTCCTCCCCCCTCCCCCTGTCGGGAGTGTGTTGCTCCAGTGTTGTGGTTACGCACCGGCCGATCCTGTCACTTGGGGAAGAAAGATTGTTTTCCGTCAGGATTTCACTGTCGGGACAAGAAAAGCACCCATATTCCTACACAAGAGCACACAAAAGCGTGCTTTATAATGGGGGAAGAGCAGCCCGAATCCCCAGCAGCCTTGGCTGCATTTGAACGATGGTATTTTGGCAATTGAGAGGAATGTCTTCACAACCACTGGTGAAGCGCTGAGGTGTGCAGTTCGGGTTTTTTTTATTTTAATAATTCAGCTTTCTAATTCCCCTTGGAGCTGTATGGATTCAGATTTTAAAACCTCCTTTTTTCTTAGGAAATTAAATGTTTTTTAATTGGTTAACGACTGCAAATTCCAACCGCTAATTAAAGAGAACAATGAGTTGTGAAAGGTTCAGCGGATAATGATGTTGAAATGGGCCCAGACTTTCCTCCAAGGTGCTTCTCGCTGTAGAAAGCTGAGCGGGTGCCAGTTTCGTGACGCGCGGTTTCGGTTTTCCTCTGCCTTTGTCTCGGTGTTCGAAGGGGGGGCTGACCTCGGGGGCCGGGTGGCTCTTTAATCCTGCAGGACATGCGGGGGGACAGCGGCGGCACAGGAGTCAGCCGAGCTGGGTTCTGGACTGTCGGAGCCGAGCCGACCCGCAACGGTGACGCCGTTTTAGGGAGGTTAAAAGTCGATACCGGAAAGAGCCGGCAACCTGAAAACACGTCAGTATAGTCACTGCAAACAAACATGAGCGTCAGAGGTCTTCGGCCCACATGGAAAAAGAAAGGAAAAGAACGCACAGTGTGCCAGGAGGTTGAGAAATCGAAAGGTGCTGTAACACGAGCCGGAAAAGTCACTGTTTCCCTCCTGCACTGTGTCAGAGCTCCAGACGTAGATCTTGACATTTTGAGAGGAAAACATCGTCGAGTCACCATCCTCTCCTGCTGGGGGCTCTGCTATGAGCTAACAAGACTCAGATCTTTGTTTTTTTTCTCCCACCTGGGCCACCAATGAGAGAGAGATCTGC